AAAAGATACTTGGAGGAGAGCAAGAAATGCAGGTTTGATCAGTTTTAAAGCCTAGCGAAATGATTGTTTTACTTCCAGTGAGAAAGTAGAAGGCATCGATAAGCAAAGAGAGTACCTGGAAAAGTCTCTGACCGATGCTGAAAAGAACATCAGAGAGCTAATACAAAACCGTAGAACATAAGATCCCGCTTCCGCTTTGATTTTTGTTTTATAAAGCTTTGGTCGAATTATTTTGAATACGTTGCATTGTTCTTACCAATCACTTTATTTGGAAAAAGTAGTAACAATCTCAGTAGTTCTTCTCAGAATGACTAACCCGCTGCTGTTTCGCAGCATTGTTTCAATCAGTGTACTCGCTTGCTTATGTGATGGTTCCACTTGGAGCCTTCAAGCAGGCATACATAAGTCTGATTGTAGCTCCATGACCAAGTATGTACTCTTGCAAGATGCTCAGAAAATCGTGGAAGGTAAAAGCAATACAAATTTCGTTGATCATGTATTCGAAATGAACTCGACGAAAACTTTTGATGGCGTTTTGTATTTGAAGAATAGTTGCATAGGCAAAGGTAAGGCCGATTCATCATGTTATCTCGCTTCATTACAAACAGAAAAAATCTTGCTCAACTTCCCCACGAAAAATCAGTACAGGAACAGACTTGATTACGACGATTACCATGTTAACTTGGGATTACTTAAAACTTCAGGTGTGAAAACTAATCGGTCGGTTCTAAACTATAAACATTGAAGAGATGGCTATCGAAGACCTAGATAAGAGTAGCTGCTCATGTGAAAACAAGAGATGCTCATGTTGTGAAATCTTTCAATACCCTAAGTTTGATCACAGTGGTTAACATCATTTAGCGCAGATAGTTCTATTGATGTATTTTTTTCAGTCTGTGTAAATATCACCTACAACGCCGACACCATAGGAATAGAAGCGTCAATTGGAATTGACGGCTTCTATTTTACTAAATCAATATCAGGTAAGAACACTTCGAACTAGCACGCATTGCTACTTAGTTATCTGAATCGTGCTTTTCAGCTCGCAATCCGCCTCCTATATGTTTTGCTATTCCTAGTCTTCACGATATTGCTAGTGTTTGCATAGCTTTTACTGATGTAAGTAGATTTATTAGTTTGTAATCACAATATACTGCAGTTGGACATGACCAAGAAGTTGTTCACTGGCTGCATATTCCTAGAAGCGGAATTCATACATCTTGAGCTTCTAAAATTGAAGATCGGTTGCTTCAAAATGCCTATTTGAGTCGCCTAGTGTCATCAACATCTATCCTATACATACTATATTTCAAGCTGTTTATTCTTTGATTTATTGATTTGCTTCAGTTCAGTAAATATTCTCTATGTTTAAACCTTTCCAAGTAGATCATTGTGATAAAACTATCGCTTTGGGCGGGCACTACCTTTTCCCTTTCCATTCAATTATTCCTCTCGTGCCTTCATACAACTCACACTACCATTGATTGCCTATCAGTTCAATCTGATTTTACAGACTAGTAGTTATGTATTCGAAGGATGAGCTTAAAGTTCTAGTAGATGGGCAGGATAGTTTGTTGCAATTCTTCGATGATTTGTCTGCTGCTGAGAAGGAAACCTTCGTTCAACAGGTTTTGACCTTTCAACTATTGATCACAGTCCATTTCCCAGCTGAAAACTTTGGATATTCCAAGTGCTAAGAAGCATTTTTTGGAATCTGTCAATGTATACCATCCTGAGCCAAAGAACTTGAGGCCTGTCCCTGAGGATCACCATGCTATCGTTAAGTCGATGTCTGAGAAAGATATTAGCTTCTACAAGAACAAAGGTTTTGATGATATTGATGTTTATTATAAATCGAAACTTGAAGGACTCGAGGCTGTAGCGAACGGTGAAGTAGCTGCTCTAGTACTTGCTGGCGGTCAGGCTAGCCGATTGGGTTCGTCATCACCCAAAGGTAACTGTGTCTGTCACGTCCTTATCTAATTGCTCCAATCAGGAACTGTGCCATTGGGGCTTGATGTTTCTCCATGTGATTCTTTATTCGGAATTCAAGCTGCTAAAATTGCTGCTCTCGAGAGACTAGCTTCTGCTACTTTCCCTGGGAAGAATGGGAAAGTTCAATGGTTTGTATCTTGTTGATTATTTGTTACATTCAATTTACAGGGTTGTGATGAGCTCCAAAGCAACTGAGGCTGCTACAAAGGAGCATTTAGAAAAAGTTGTTCCCTTAGCTGGTTTATCAACAGAGCAGCTGACAATGTTCTGCCAAGGAGAAATTCCAGCCTTTGATATGGAGGGAAATGTGTTTTTAAGTTCGACAAAATCCATAAGCACTTCACCAAGTATTATTACTTTTTCACTTACTCATTTATTTAATTATTCCAGATGGAAATGGAGGAATCTACTCTGCTTTGGCAAATATCTTGCCCGATTTGAAAAAGAAAGGCATTAAGTACTTCCATATTTATTGCGTCGATAACATTCTTTGTAAAATTGCCGATCCCACATTTATCGGATATGCTATTGATAGGAACGCAGACGTAGTCACAAAGGTAATCTTGCTAAGTTGGTATGCTGTTGTATCCGCATAGTAATTACTGGCATAACAAAGAGCCGGTGTTTAGTTATAAAACATAATTTTCCTTGTACTAACTGCCATCTGTCCCTTGAATTTCGTGACTGAGCGCCAAAAGGAACAACAAAAGTTAAAACTAGTGATGTGCCTATTGAAAGAGTAACTCCCATCTTCAATTGGAAGAATATGCCCTGAGGCGAAGTTCGAGTGCTTGCACGATTGAAAGAATCTCGTGGCCTTTTGTCAATATTCGCATCTCATAAAGCTATTTTAATATTCTCTTTTTCAGACAATTTTGAAATCTCCTGGTGAGCTGGTAGGATCAGTTTGTATAGACAATGACGTTCCCCGTGTTGTGGAGTATACGGAATTGGGAGAGGAGTTAGCCGAGAAGACAACCAGCGATGGTCGACTTCTATTCGGAGCTGGTACCATTGCCAATCATTTATTCTCGATGGAATTCTTAGAAAGGTAACTAACTGTGGAAGTGTAGAAAATATTGTTAAAAACTAATGAATGTTCGCACAATTCCGGTAGAGAAAATGTGCTAATCGCGCAATCTATTGTTCAGCAAATCCATTGTATGCTTTAGGAACACCTGCATGATATGTTTTTTCTAGGTTTTGCACTCCTTCGTTCCATCTTCCATACCATAGAGCACACAAAAAAATCTCTCATGTGAACAATAATGGAGAGATAGTCAAGCCGGAAACGCCAAATGGAATTAAATTGGAACAGTTCATCTTCGACGTATTCTACATGAGCAAGTAATATATAGATAGTCTTATGACATATTCATTACATAACATCTCATCTAGGAACTTCCATATTTGGGAAGTTGATAGAAAGGATGAATTCAGCCCTCTGAAAAATGCTGAGTCTGCTGGTGTTGACTGTTTATCGACTTGCCAACAAGCTTTGAGTGTTCAAGCTTGTCGCTGGTTAACCCAAGCTGGGGCTATTGTTGAAGAGAAGCCTGTATACATCAAATCTGAATGGAGTTACGATGGAGAGGTGGTGTATACATAACAATAAGTGAAACATATATTGGCAATTTAGAATTTGGAGAAGTACTCAGGACAAACCATTGCACGTGGACTTTTGAAGAGTTTATGATTTTCTTTTTTCGTGTTGTTTTAATGAAATAAATAATGTTCTCATCATTTTACCTGCTTAAGAACGGTATCAAGCTACTAATCCTCTTGCATTTACATGATACGGCCGCCTTTTATGTATATGTTGCGAGAAGTGCTTTACTGTGGTTTATAAAATACTGCTGTCAACTTATATTGCGCATTCGAAGTTTTTATCTTTTGTTAGTACCGATTTAATGTTTGTGAGGATACGTTTTGCTCTGGAATGTTTTCTCCTGGCAGATGTGTGAACGTGAGTTCGTCCAGCTGCCACTAAAGGTTTTTCGAATCCAATGCAAAAATTAGTAAAAATGGAAATAGCTCTCATACCGAATATGAGAAATATCCATCGCCTTTAATTATAGAAATTCTCTAAATCAACAGGAAGCTAATGGTTGGCGGTAGCTGGCGGCTTATGATATGTCTCCATGAAAGGTCACAAATCGTTTCGTCCATTATATACTTATAGCAGTAGGTGTTCATCGAAGCGACCAAATTGTAAATAGCCAGATAATAGTCCGAAAGGTATAGCAAGCTAGTCAAACGCTTCCTCACTTTACTTCTACGATTCCTTTTCGACGTTTAGAAAGTAAAGCGAGAAAAAATGAGAATTTTTTCTAAACTCAACATTGCAAGGTGGATATATAGATCAAGACAGAGCTATGCGAAGAGGAGGGGGGTATTGAGCAAGCAAATGAGAACTTCAACTACTAATGAATCATATGGAAATTGAAAATCGAAGTACAATTCATCTTTCGTTAATTTCTCCCATATTTATTTGAGGGTTGGCTTGATGACCGTAGTCAGAAACCAATGGTGGTCGTCGCAGTTGGATGTTACGCCCCGCCTACTCTGCTCTGAGAGGTTCGTTTCACAGCAGACTTTAATTGAGCCTGATCAAGTTGACGTATTGGTCACTGAGGTTCACATCTTAATTCACTTCTTAAACGTCTACTTCATTTATTTTGTAAGACTTATCCTTAACCGCCAACCTGTCGTCTACAACTGATTTCGAGGAGCTTTTAGCTTCTCACTCCCCTTCTTCTTCTTCTTCCTCCCATCCCTGTACTGACAGTGAAACATTTTCTATTCTGGGACAATCAGCAACTGCCTTACTCAACTCGTTGCTTTCTAACTCAACTTCTAACAGTTCTATTAACTCTCCTGGCTTAATAACTAGCGGCTCATCCCATATCACTACCATGTCTTCCGCACAACCAAGTAGTAAGTTTTTGATTCTCTATTCAATTTCTGACGATTGGGAAATCTCAATCAAAAATTTTAAAATGTGACAATGTTTTCATGACTATGAATATGAACTTCGATTTTACACGTTTTTTCCATTGTAGGTAGGATTCTATTAGATGTACCTTGTCGCGTCTGTCAAGATCATTCGTCAGGAAAACACTACGGCATTTTCTCGTGTGATGGTTGTGCAGGCTTTTTTAAAGTTGTTGAATTTGAATAATTGATGTTAAAACAATGATTATAGAGATCCATACGAAGGCATCGTCAGTATGTTTGTAAGAACAAAGGAGGTTCTGAAGAGGGCCGGTGTATCGTAGATAAAACTCATAGAAATCAGTGTCGGTGAGTCGCAAAAGAAAGGATTAGGCTTGGTACATTTTGTTCAAAGACATGGATACTATATCAAGTTAATAGTGACAGGTCATCGAGAACCTCTATTGTTCTTTAAGTATATCCAATGCATGAAGTCTTCTTTTTGTAAAATAGTTAGAAAGAGTATGTAGGAGTTGGCTGAGAATGATGACTCAAGGGTTTTCAAAGACCACAATTCCCGAAAGAGCAACAATACAAAGTGATAGTGTAAGAGGTTAAGCAAGAGCTTTTCAGGGCTTGCCGTCTACTGAAATGTCTAGAAATAGGGATGAACAAAGAAGCTGTTCAACATGAGCGAGGGCCACGCAACTCCTCAATCCGTCGTCAATCATTCCTTATACAGCAACAACAACAACAACGAATAGTTTCCGTAAGTTAACATTATTTCAAATTAAATCTCAAGTAAATGACAAATGTGTGTATACTTGTGATGTGGTAGGACCTCTATAAGAGAAACTCTAACACAATACTCAACTTGAAACAAGGCCAGATGATGATTAGATGTCATATCCTACCACTTATCCAACCATCTTTTCACTCTCATCATGTAGATTCGTCCAAATATTGTTGGTCAAATCCGGCAGTATACTCTAGTAAGACCCGCATCTGTCTCTATTGCTCAAGTGCTTGAACTGAACAAACATACTTATCTTACTCTATTATGTGAGATGATTGCATGTAAATGGCCTTCATGTCTTCATGTCTATAACTTCTGTTAATTCATTTTCGAGTCTTCCGCAATTCTGTGGATTTTGTTTTCAAATCTTCCTTCACTTATTATTCATTCGCCATTTTCACTCACAAATGTGTGATCTAGTTGCTTCAATGGGTGGAGACTTACTGCCTACTACCGTATCCATAAGTTATGTTGTTGACGTCACAAAAGAAAATAATTCTCGATTCTCCGAATTCTTTTTTTTTGCAAAGCGGATGTTTTTAAATAGAAAGGATGAGTTGAGAACTTCCAACACCACTACCAAATCTTTTTTGAAACTGTCACAAAAAACTTACTGGCTACAGTATCCTCCTAATAATGACTTTACATGAGAGATTAAGTCAAATTAAGTTTCGATTACATCAATTGACATATGTGTGTACAGTTTGTTTTTGATTGTCACTCTCTCTCCCCCATACGCATGTTCACACACACGCACACATACACACATACACAAGTTTCTGCTCTTCATGATCATCAATTAATTGTCTTGCTCTTTCAGCCAGATCTCAGCTCCGACGCAGAGCCAACTTCAAACATTCTGACTTCCGAGAGGCTGACAGAGGTTGCGGCACGGGCTTTCTTTCATGCCATCAATTGGGCTAAATGCCAGTTACCTTTCGCTTGTTTACCTCAGGATAAGCAGGTAATTAGCTTTTTTCATTCTTTTTATTTCAAAAAACGAAAAGTTTTGTATGAAGAAGCTTTTGTTAGCTCATGCAATCTTATCTTTTGCGTTTGTTTGTCTCTTTTCCATTTCAGTTGGTTACGGTAGCAACTGAGTGGTCATTGAACATGACAACATTTTGCGTTATGAATGAAATATTAAAAATATGATTTGTGGAAAGTCACTTATTGCAGGTTATTGCTTTTCAAAATGGCTGGCCTGCTCTATTTGTGTTATTGTCAACGGAGCAAAAGCTGATCTCATCTGTGCAGATTAGAAACAGTAAATGTGAATATAATAATTATAAAAAAGAAGTAAGATAACTTCATCCCTCCTTATCATCTACATCATCGTGCCATTTGCAGACAATCGCTGCTTTCGAGAAAGTTGAAAACCTCCATTTGGATTCACGAGAAGTTCAATTATTAAAACTATATGTTTTACTGAAAGGTTCACTAATCCATTTCAATGTCATCAATGTAATACATGATTTCAGATACCGCAAGTGGATTACAAATCGGATATCAACTAGCTACTTTCCAACAACTGCTATTTCGAGGAGAACCTTTCCGTTTCCTTAAGTATGTTATAACAGTCACATGTTCATTCTATTTATATCTGTTCAGATGTATGGAGACGTTGACAATACCTGGAACTCCGTTGGTTGAATTCCTATTTAGACCATCTATTGGAAATGCCTCCATGTCAGTACTCATTGCTGATATATTAAGTCCCCTTAAAGTTATTGAGCCGTTTCTTTCCAAAGCCCTACAGACTTCATGTTCATGAAACATTCCTTCATGAGCACACATGTATTCCCATCACGAAAAAAAAAGAAAGAAATAAAAGTCTGAAAATATTGTCCTCATTAGTAGAGAAAGCTAATTAAGGTCTTAAGTCTGATCATTATTGACTGTCTCGTGTGCTTGTTGTTACTCAATTGGTTTGAGCAATTAGAAATGTTTAGCACCTAAGTGTTAACAAGATACATACACTATTAACATATATGAATGGACGTCATCTGAGGTCAAAAACTTCAGGGACATCTTATTAGGTCATTATGATCCACGAAGGAAGTTCCAACAGTACTGTCACGAATACAAGAAGTCTATTTACAACAACTACTTTAATATAAAAGAATTGACATATACCATTACCGTAACCGATGCAAACAGGAATTAATTCATCTTTTCAAATCCTTTCTTATTTTACTCAACAGGCGGCTATACTTCCGACAACAGAAAAAAAGGAGGAGAAAGAAGCAAAAAATCATAAGTTCGTCATCTTCTAGTAATCTCTGTTGAGCTATTTCTTTTTTTGGGGAGGATATTCTCGAACGACAGCCGTTGCATATCTTGTCTTACAATATGAATTCTTTGAAAATAAATAATAAACAGAACAAAAAAAGGATAGAGGGATTGAGAATGAATCCAGACCGTTAGGAGATTAACGACATGTGTCATTTCTAACCTGATTTCTGCAATTGAATCGGCTCTCGAAGCTTAAAATCAACACAACTTTGGGGTGGTGAGATAGAGAGGGGAAATGACAATCTATTGGTTTATTATGTTTTTTATTATTGCTTCGCCTGTCCAGGCTAATCTAAATTCATTCTTATCCTATTTGACTGTCTTGTAATTGATTCATCGTCCTATATATTGGTAGTCAATCATAGATATCATTTAACACTATACATTCTGTTCTCTCTTTAATTGTCTTCAATTTCCTATTTCAATATATATTTTGTTTTAAAGAATAATGAAGGAATATAAGATTGTCATCGTTGGAAACGGTGGAGTAGGCAAAAGTGCTTTGGTATTTCACATTTTCTATCCTTTTTTTTTTCATCTTCTTCCTACCCCACATTTCTCAAAAAAATGTTTAAGACGGTTCGCTTTGTACAAGGACAGTTTGTTCATTCATACGATGCTACTATCGAAGATTCATACAGAAAGTTTGTTCATTTGGACGGCGAAGATTGTCGCATGGAAATATTGGATACAGCAGGAACTGTCAGTTAGACTATTACCAAATGCAATTACATGACATATCGTTTGTAGGAGCAGTTCACAGGCATGCGAGACTTATATCTCAAGAATGGTCATGGCTTCATACTAGTTTATTCCATAGATGATCCATCGTCATTTTCAAGCGTACAAAGTATTGCTAAGACTATAGTTAAACAGAAAAATGGAAAAGTTAGTAGAGAAAGGACATCTTTCATACAATGTGATGATCATCATCATCATCATTCAGGCGCCCATGATATTTGTGGGAAATAAATCCGATGTTTCCGAGTCAGAACGATGTATTACAACTTCAAAAGGGATGGAAACAGCCAAATCATTTAGTAGTCCATTTATCGAAACAAGTGCCAAAACAGATAAAAACGTTAGTGAGGTAAGGTATACATGTATTATATATAGAAAACACAACCGCTCCTCATCTCATATCAGTCATAAATGATTTCGCATAATAACGATATCACCTATATATCCATTTTCGCGCTCAAAAACACATATACAAACAGAAATTTAAATAAATAACTTATTTATTATATTATAGATCTTCTTCATTTGTGCCAGACAAATTCGACTTCAATCTCAACGCAAAAAACTTGATAAAGATAAATATAAATCGTCTCGCTGTTGCAGGACTATGTAATTCTCCTATTTGTTCTATACTCTATCATCCTCTTCTGTTGTATACTGCAATAAATTAATATATTTGACATGAGCTCATAGACTCTCATACCCCATAAAAAGAAGCCGACGTAGGTGGTCCGACCAATGATCTGAACGAATTAAGACTACCAAAATCAAAGTCCTCGAACGATACACTAGATAGCTCTTTGTTGTCCCATTTTAGATTCTGTTCAAGAACGGCCAATACCAACACATGAAATCCTGATAGACAGTTTTTTTTATGAGAAATATGAAAAACTTGTAGTACCAGGAGGTTGGGCCGTGACTTGCGGGACTTGATATTCAACAACTTCTCGTATTCCTCTACTCAGGATAAGCTTACCGTCAGCAAAAGGAATATTAACCAAGAACCAGTTAATGTTTTTTGTGGTTGAATCTTTGACATAAAACAGTTCTTTAAACATCTTTTCGTGAAACAAACCTAATAGGATAACAGTGTATAATGAACTCTCATTTCCATCCTTCAATGAAACAGTCGGAGGTGATTCTAAAGCACTGAGAATTTCCGGTCCGAATAGCTGTCCCATAATCAATGTTTCGGTGCCGAAAGTGAGCTGAAGAAAGAATATACACAAGATACGAACGATGAACACACCTCTGCTTCAAACTTAGGAGCCTTCTTCAAAACCTGAGGAACAATTTTGTTATCTTTGAAGGCTGAAACAAATATATATATGAAACTAAAATGTTTCATGAGATACTTGTTTCCGGTTCAGGATAAGTTAAGGCATCATTTTGTTTGCAGCAAAGATTAACAAGCTTGTCATATCGAGAAGGCATGCAGTTATAGCCTCGTGGACAAGCAGTATCATTTTCGGTTCCACAGGTCATCAACAAAGTATCATGAAATTTGGGACAAACTATGAAAAAGAAAAATGCGTACTTCAAAAATTGTTCGAACTAACCTGGAGGCTCGATATCAACTTTATCTTGACAACATATATATTTGAAAGTTTTCAAAGAAAATTGGCAAGCAGAGTTTCTTCCTTTCGGACATGTTGAACTCTCAGGTATGCACTGTAATGGTCGTGCAGGCGAAGCAATTGTTGAAATAGACATAAGTGGTGCTTGCCATGGTCTTATACAGTCTGAAACAAGAAATAGTTCTAATGATGCCATAAAATGCAGTTAAACCTCTGAGCTTTCGCCGGTCAGCATTTGCATGTGTGATGGCCAACAGCAAAATGAAGAGGTACATGATGTTAGGGATTGATAAGAGAAGATTCTTTTATAGGACCATGCCTCTGTTTGGTCAGTATGAGTCAACGAGTTCACACCTCAAAATCTGGACAATGCTCTTTATTGCTTCTATATATAGAAAGAAGGAGTGGTTAACAAGCAAATATAAAAACAAAATAAAGTAAAAAATAAAACATTTGAATATTTCAGACTAATGTCTCTGATTCTCCATAATATACAATGTTGGATGAGAAATCGATGGAAGGAAGGGTTCTATTTGAAATAGGAGAGGGAAATCTGAATGTAAAATAGAACATTTCGTTATTTTCTTTATTTCTTACTTCTTGTATGTACATTGCTGATTAGCAAGGCTAGAGGTTGGTGATGCCTAAAGAATTAGTTGAATAAAGAAAAAGCCTTTTTTGCACATTACTTCAAGGAAAGGGAGAATCGTTTTACGATAACACTCCTTTGGAGTTTCTAAATCTACGAACCACATCTGCAAAGATAAGAGAGAGTTTCTGAAAATAGTGTCAACAGTACTTGATCAGATCTGTTGGAATAACTGCAGGCAGCTGGACTCTGCAACTGAGCTCTTTATTGAGCAACACATATGTTACTTACCGATAAGCTGGTAAGCTCTGTCGCTTCTAACGGAGAATTGGCTACTTGAACAGGATAGACGAACTCTTCGCTGGTAATTACTCTGGAAAATACTTTTATCGTCAATCTCTATTTATGAACAAACCTTTCAATTTTAGTGAGCTCTACTTCGCAGGAACATGCACGTTTCTTTATGACATTCTTAGTACATATAATTACAAAAACTATGCCGAAAACGGTTAGAAAACCGAACAAAACAATCATAATTAGTAATGGCTATACTGACTTCTATCAGGCCTTATGCTATTCCGACCAAAGTCCATCAAATCCAAACTCTAGGGGCGGCTAGTTTAAACTTCAAAGAGTGCGGGGTTTTTGACCACAGTTAACACTTTGCAATACCTAACTCCAAACAACTTAAGTTCAAATAATTTATTGATTACTCTACATGTAAGTTATATCACAGATGGTTTATATCACTCTTCGTCAAAGGGATTGTAGCTAGTCGGCTTCCGTGTTTCAACAGCTCTAGCTGACGGTTTTACTGTAATGAACAAGAGTATAGAGTATGTGAAACTGTTCAAATACCTTCGCTACTCGAGAAAGGGTTCGAAGATTCCTTTGATGTTGATTCCTGTAGTTAGAGCTTGTACTAGCATCTTACTGATTACTAACCTTTCTCGTTTGTTTTTGGGAGTCATCGAACAAGCCTGATTTCACATAACAGGATATTAAATCCATGCAATTGACGGCAGTATTGAGCTAGAATTGTTATAATGGAAGTGATATAACTTTTGCGTTCATAATCTTTTCATACCTCATGTTGGAATTTCGTATAGACTTGACGATCATTAGGTTTTTCTGTAGTACGGGATCTTGAAGTATTTAATATAGGAAAGACAAATAAGAAAGTAAATACTCAGTTGTGTTGGAACCGGAGAAACATGCTGGACATCTATCTCCTTTTTCGGAATAGGACTCGAGACAGTGCACATGATAACTATGCTTACAGAGAAAATGAACCGCAGGCAGTTGGAGAGCATTATCACAAGCACAGCACCTTATTACTTGGACAACTTGTGTGCTATAAAAAGGGTTTTCAGAAAAGAACGCTTTACAAGACTCACTCGAATTTGATCGAATCTACCAAATGCTCAATTTCTCCAACCCTCTTTTCACCCCATTCAATTGCGGCTTTGTCCGCTTCTATCTGTAATGCGTCGGTTATATCAACATGAACTTCTATAAATCGAGAGCCTGCTTTTGCTGCTTCTCGAGCCAGTTCCCGACGAAGTTTTTGACGGCAGATATTTTCAAGCAAGGGCTCTTAGATAAGATGTCCATTACAACAAGAGGATGGATTGACTTTGACTCTTCAATGCTGTATAAGAACATTCACTCAATACTCAGAAAATAAAAAGAACCCTTTCAATAATTCCTTGATAGAGCTATCATCTTTGATGGTATCCAGTTTTGAAACATAAACTAACGTTTCTAACCACAATTCTTTGCTACTATAAATAGGATGGGTTATTGAAAACAAACACAATGGTAAACCTTATTTGCCTGCAAAGCCTCATTATGTTTTTCAATTTGTTCTGTTTCATGTAATAATGAAGAAGATCTTTCACTCTGAAATAATTCTTAGTTCTTTCCGTTCCTGTTACCAACCTGTTCGTTTGAGTGTACAAGTATTCTAGCACGGGAGAGCAATCGAATAATTGGGCCAAATAGAATAAGTGTGGAGTTGGTTCATCTATATATGGAATTATCATCTTTCTGCAGTCATCATCGGTCTGTAAAATTTTTTCATGGAACGAAAACATCTGGGACAAACAATTTCTTTGCTTGAATATGATCTCAATCGTATTTCAAGAATCGTATCCAACAGAATTGCACGTTGATTCAAGGAAACCTAGAATAGATTGAACTATTTCAGCTCTATTAGGAGATTCACCTTCTCCAGAGCACTTTCAATGAAATCGGCACTTTTTTCAGAGTCACCCATAAAAACTGTGAGTAGTTGAGATGGGTCTATTTCAGCTGAAATTACGATCAAAAAACTCAATGAGCTCAAAAAATCCGAAATCACCTATTTCAGCATTTTCAAGAAGATATAGGAGTAGACTCATTGTTTCTGATGGACAATTATCGTATAGGATTCTGCCAAATTTTTCGATGTACGAGCTCATATTATTCTGCAAACTCGTGTGAAAGTTAATGAATTATGTCTTGAATCACTTTTTTTTCAGCCAGATCCTTCAAATATTCCAAAGCATTGTTATATTCACTCAAATCCTCGATAAGTACAGCTAGAGCTATATCGTGCCTTTTCAACTTTTTCGCCAACATTTTAGCTTTCTCGTACATACCGCAGTTCCTTAGCACCTACAAGAAAAAAAATAAAGCTGAGCTATAACAGTTTTGCACCTGTAATGCGACGTCCATATCAGACTCCATGTTGTTCTCAACATCGTTTATGAACTTGTTCAACTTCTCCTCTTCACGTAATCTTGCATAGCATTGAATGAGAATAGCCGTGTGATGGCTATTGGCTAGCTTCCTATCATGTAAAGCGTTCAGATATACACAGAGTTGCTTCAGTCTTGTATCGTCGTGGAACTGAGAAATTGAAAGAGAAACGCGAGAGATTCGAATACCTTCTTAATAACATATGATGATTGGACCATACCGATGGTTTCCTTATACTGGTTGATAGCGTTATCGAAATCTCCTTTGCTACAGAGTAAAATTCAAGAGAGAGTTTATGAAAGCTCTACTAACCCGTAAAGATGATCTCCATACTTATAATGTATCAACTTCAAATACTGCTGCCCTTCCTGATCTCTTTTAGCTAGTCTTAAACAGCCAGGTTATAGTTAAAACAGTGGCAACCTACACAACAGCAACATCATATAAGTTTTTCTTGAAAAGGATATCAAGCTTAGCGCTCAAGTTTCTCTCAACCAAGATTGAAAGGGGACCATCTTTGCATTGAATCATCAGATTATCATCCAAGGAGAATATTCTTGAGCAAACTTGTAAAGAACTCAGGACATTTTATTCCTTGCCTGCATAGTGACGGGAGTGAGCAAGAAAATGCAATATATTGTCCTTTCATGTCATAGACTGTGACCATCGACATGAACTCAGTCTCGGACGATCTTAAAAAGCAAGAACGATTATTTAATTACAGATCAGAACAAACGGAATCAAAGCTTGTTGTTTAGTTAGTAATACTATGTGTTCTCCAATTGATACAATTTGCAATTTTTCCGCTTTCTCAACCAATCGGTACGATCCTCCCATAAATATGTCATCTGTTGCACTTTGTTCATCATAGATAATATATACAATCTGAAGGTACGTATGCTTCATCTTAGTTTTTCTTAACAAACGTCTTGATCAGCAAGAATGAGTTGTCCTAAGCGCTCATCAAAGCTCCAACAGTCTCTTGTTGCTCCTGTAGAGGAATGCTTAACCTGAAATATTCTCGTCACAACTATATATTTTTCGAACGAAACATACACTTTTCTTGATTGTCTTGTTTTCCACTATGTAAAAATATAAAACGTTTGCTGTGATTGTGAAGATTATGACTTTATCACTCAGTTTCAGCAATGCCAATCCTGTGATTGGACCTTCCAAGCGATTGCTTTCACGAACTTTGAGCCATCGGAAGCTCTTCAACGAGTTTAAATATGCCATTTGAAGGGTAAACAAACTTTGTCTTTCAGTATATCTCCTTGATATAAAACAACTGATCCATCAGAGAAACCAATCACAATATCTGATAGCTGCGAGTGCACAGCGATTGAGGTGGCCAAAATGCAATTTGCTCCAAGGTGATCTGATATTGGAACAGTTTTTTTCAATGTGGTTTCTCCTTCGCTGTTCGTTTCCCATATTTTAAAAATTGATCCTTGAACCTCATCATCTTCCTACACATAATCCATTTGTAAGAATTAAAAAAAAACTCAGACTCACTCCAACAGAAAATAAATAAGGACGCGTGAAATGCAAGTCGGCTAATGAGCGTTGATAGCCTTTCCAATAAAACTCATCTAGTGTTTTACTCAAACGGAATATTCCGCCTGTTCCTTCACCTAAATATGTTTGATCCCCTTCACTACACCAACAAGCGATGCTAACATGCTTTAAAAACAATAAATTAGCTTATTAGGTAGCATAGCCATATTCACACCTGTAACCCGACAAACTTTGCTTCTGAGTCTTTAGGATCTAAGACAATATTCTTATCGAAAAAATTAAAACGTGGCCATCCAAATGCCATGAATATCCTTCTGAAACGAAACAGATAAGTCACAGTGAGAGAAGTTGCATGCTTCATGATATATTTGAGGTAGTCAACCGAATGCAACCAATCACAAAGTCAAAATGAGTTTTATTGATCGATCATCAGTGTGTGTATACATTTTTCTGTTTCAAGGCTCCACAAGCTTGTTGCTTTCCATAAACTTGGCAGTTCAGAGTGTGTGTACTAGCGAGAGCTCCCCCATTCTCATCTGAAAGTTTGATAAGGCTTCTGCCTGATTCCCGAATACTATTTGAGATTTGAAAAAGGCAAAATCTATGTAACAATTCTTTAAATATAACAACAACAAATAACAACTTTGTCAAACAAAAAAATCTCATCTTCTTTTATATATGCAGGGTTTTAACTTCAGACCGTAGGGACGCTTATTTTCTACTTTCGCAATTTTCTTGAATTGCATCATCATGAAATAATCGGTTAAGTTATTCTAAATGGCCAGGTTCGAGATAAGAACAAAAAACTCAATATACCTTATACCCTAACTCAAAACCGAGCTGACAAACTGCTTCCGCGAACAGATTCACTTTCGTAAAACGACTCGTGACTTCGGCAATCTTCAGAATACCTCTTAATTTGCATACAGTTCAAGAAGAATATTTTGTTAGAACATACCCAATTTTCAATACTCTACGAGCTTCTTTGATAAAATCAGGAATATTCGTGCCCATAAGAGATAAACAAAATATAACGACGTCAGCAGAGTTGTCTTCCACTGGTAAATTGGCCATGTCACAACTTGTAACACGTTCATTTATAGCTACCAAATCGAATGAATGAACCTAAAGTTTGTAACTAATACTGTTTCGGATAAGTCTGTTACCGTATGATGATCGCCAACTTTTTCAGCTATTTTGGCTTCTCCGCAGCCCAAGTCATATACTACTTGGCCTTTTTCAAGCTTTAATAACCATTTAACAATTGTTTGAAGAGGGTGATTTGGCCATTTTTTGACCTGTGAGGGATAGCATTTGAATTTTTTAAAATAATCTGTTTCAACTCACTTGCTCCGTAAACCCTTTATGATAGCAATCAAAAGCTTCAGGTTCTTGTTCAAAGAACTGTAGAGCATCAGAGCCACTCATTGTGTAAAGTTTCTCGTTAAGGAATCTTAAAACAGTTTGTCTTTGAAAGCAACAGCTGTCACTCTTACCTGAAGCGTCCCGACTCAAGTTTTTTGCGGAATTCATCCGAAACATCAGTAATCTTATCCTCTTCTTCCACATCCACATCCTCTACTTTTTTGGAACCTTTCTTCTTTGATTGAGTAGGTGGATCTTTTTTTTTGTTCTCTTTTCCTTTTTTTTCATCCTTCTCTTTCTCTTTCTCTTTTCCCTCTTTTCCCTCTTTCGCCTTTCTTTCTTTTCTCAGCTGTGACTTGGTTTTCAATGAACTATCCTTCAAGACTACATCTAAATTTCTCTTGATTCTTTTGATATCTGGCTCTGAGCTATCGATAGGTGCGTTTGCCCTCTTAAAGAATTATTCGTGAACTCGGAAACGTAACTCAACAAACCGCTTCTCTCTTTGCCTTTTTAGCTGCCTCTCTTCTGACTTTATGTCTCCAAGGCCTTTTCTAAAAAGATTGAAAATAACGATCTTTCACAGTCTGCTACCTTTTTGATCGCTCCTTCTACGGGTACAATGGCTGTTTTTGTTTTTATTTCTTCCGTCATCTTAATATTTGGTTAAAAACCTCAGTAGCCTCAAAATATATTTTCATTGTACGAGACAAGTAGCGATGTTGAATTCCTTAGGAAAAACTTTATAAAAAGCAACAACAACAAAATTAAAAATGAATATAACAATACCAAATAACAAGTAATTTAAAACATCTTTAACGTCTTTCTGTTTTACCGATTCCTCTCTTACCAGAGAACAAGTGCTTGGGCTTGAGGTCGAAAATATGACGATCAGCCTCTCCTTTTCTGGCTTCTTTCTTGAGCTTCCTGAGAGCACGTTCCCTGATCTTCTCAGCAGTGTGTCTTTTCTGAAGGAGTCAAACCGGTTAAATGATTCGAGACTGAAACATACCTTCTCGTCAGGAATAGCAAGTTCATCTCTGGGTGCAGGTCTGACAGCTCCAAGACTGGGGGAACGTCCAACACGAATTTTCTTACCGGGAATAGGTTTGGCGCATTGCCCAACAAGGTTCTTCATTCTCTTAGTCTCTACCTAAAACTCCTATCATGCAATAAAGCTCTTTCACTATTGAACGAACCTCAACACCTAGATCTCCAAGTTCCTGTTCTAATCGAGTCATTGATCTCTCGCGCTTTCTTACATTTAATCTCGAGACTTGTCGGCCCTGAAGATACAATTCAACTTGATTACACGAAACCAAAACTTACAGCCTTAGCTTTGTTAATTTTGCTTTCCAGCGACATTAATTTCTCCTTCTCTCTGATCATTCCAGCAATTTCAAGTTTTTCTTTAGTTTCCTCGTCATCACTGTCAAGATCAGAGTCATACTCGCCAGCAGCTTCGCGGAGTTCTTCCTCCTTCAACAAGTCGGCTAATTTCTGAATATAGACATTAATTGAGAAATTGTAAACGTTCAAGTACTTGTTGAATGTTTGGATCAACGAAATCAGCAATATTATGACCTTCCCAGATTTCAGGCACAATATCATACTTCTCATCATCATTCTTGAGCATATAATGCTTCTTCAAGTCTAGTACATAATCATCTTCTAACTCTAACTCAATTTCACGTTCGAGTTTTCTCATTCCTACAAGAGTATGTTAGTAACACAGAAGTTGATCGAATCACAAACCTTCATCTCTTTCAGCAGGAGCTTGTCCTGAAGTTTGAGCTGCAAGTTTAGGCTGTTCTCTCTTCTTCAAAACAGATGGGGGAATATAAGCTGCACGAACCTAGAAAAAAAAATTTGATCAAAAAAAAATTTGTATATACCTTATCGTCTCTAGGAGTAGGATATGCAACAAATACTCTACTTAATACCGAGCTCTGAGCATCGACGACTTTCTTGGATTGTAATTTGGCTTCGACTCTCTGTGCTAATAACTCATCGCAAGCCTAGAAATACTCTAGCTAAAATGACAATTTTGAAATTTCAAACCTTATCACGGAGGTTAACGACTCCTTCTTGGGTCATGGTTGACATTTCAATGACGGAAACACCCTCCTTCTCCAAATTTTCCAAGCATTTAAGCTTACTCTCTGGGAGCTCTGATCTACGCATAATATCAACCTGAACAAAACCTGTCAAGAGAACACAACCTAATATGATACCTTGTTCAATCCAACGAGAACAGGTTTGTTAGCGAAAAGGGGACGGATGGATTCGAAAAGATGAACCTAGTAAAACATAAGAAATAAGAGATAAGAAAAATAAAACAGTACTTGTTCTTCAATTGATTTGTCACATTGCTCAGATACATCCATAATGAACAGAATTGAAGCTTTCAAGTGAGCTAAAGCAGTAACAGCTTGCATTTCAATAGTATTTCTTTCCTCCAAAGGCTGATCAAGGATACCAGGAGTATCAATAACCTATTACGAGACACATATCTGTTTAATTTCATTGAAGAACATACCTGCCATCTCAAAAATTTATAATCCAAGTGACCAACGTACAGAGCTTTGGTGGTGAAAGCATAAGGTTGTACTTCCACATCAGCTCTAGTGACTTTGTTGATGAAAGAAGATTTACCCACATTGGGGAAACCGCACAAAATTAAAGTTCTAACGAAGAAAACAATGATAGAAACAGATAAAAACAAAGAAAACATACCTGGTTCCGGGGTCAATACTTGGCAGACGGGATAAATGCTGTCTGACTTGTTCCAAATAGTCGAAACTAGACTTCTGTCTTTTCAGTAACTTGACCATTCGTCCAAGAGCGGCTCTTTTGAGCATTTTGCATCTGTATAAGGAGTCAGCATACTTCATCAATCTTACATATTCTCGAGCTATTCTTAAACAAAAGAGTTTAATAACTGTTTTTGAGACTGGTAATACCCGTCGATGAGATGTCTAGCTGTGTTCATTTGACCGAGAGCAATTTTGTAATGATCACGATCGTATAAAATATTCATCAAATCTGCATAGAAAGGATGAACTTCCTAAATCATAAGCATGAAAAAAAGAAAAATTTCTAAACAAAAACCTCCATTTTCGGGAACTCTGTGATGATTTGTGTAAGCTTGTCATGCAAAGTTTGTTGTAAAAATTTAATTTTACGAGCATAGAATGCTCTGATTCTTCCGATGGCATACTGACGATGAACAACCGTAGGAGTTTTACGTTGAGTTTTAGACAATACCACTTCTTTGAGTTCCTACAAGACACTGATAAGACAATTTTCTTTACCAATGAACTTACAGATGCCGACGGCACCACTGTAATTCTTTTAAAATTATACTGTGACGTCATATTTTGTGCCTGAAAATGAAATGATTTGAAAAATTCAAAATAAGGAAAGACAGTTAAAAGAAGGTGATTTCAGAAGCTTTTATTACCATATATTAGGCGTACGATTTGGAATACTTTACAACGACACTCCAAAGAACGTAAACTGCAAACGTGCCGGACGTCATTTCAGTTTTTGGTTGGTTTTTCTAGATTTTGTTTTAATGTGAACCTTTTATATGTGTGTATAAGTTCATTCAGAGCTTGTTTCCAAATTCAGTACCAAGCAATGGATAATCTAGACAGTTTGACCACCAAGTGCTCGGGCTTATCTTTGAATACTGATGGGAATGGTAATATTTGAACGGGAACAGTGAAACAGCAGCAAGTAGATCTTTCAGTAGCCGCAGCTTCAACCACTTCACCAAAATTTAATAGAGAAATGGTTGTTTCGCAAGAGGAAATGGTGAGAATTATGAGAAACTTACACGAACTCCGGACTAATGAGTTGAAAGAAGTTCTGCAGAAAGAACAACTGAACATACAGTAAGTAGAGCCCTACGTTAACACTCTAAGTCTTCACCCAAAGGGGAAAGAAGAAAGAATTGCAAGAGAGAGTAAGAAGATTCTACAAGAAACACTTTTTACTTTATCAACATCAAAGAGATCTAGCTCGCCCTGGGCGCAAAACGAAGAAACACTTCGACTATTTAGTGGTTCAGAGCTTGTTGATTTGAGGTTTTTCATAACTTATACTCAGACTATTGACTTTGAATGTACCTGTCAAATGGCAAATTACGACTATCCCCACGAAATCATTCAGTTTCCAGCAGTATTGATAGAAATGGAATCTCTTTCTATTGTACGTTATCGTTTTTTGTTATCGTTTTGATTTGTTTACTCAGATTGATACGTTTGATAGTTTTGTAAAGCCGGATATTAATCCCATTCTGGATCCATTCTGCACTTCATTATGCGGTAGCTGGCTCTTGTTGTACGTGTCTCATACTATTCCATTAAGGTATAACTCAAGAAAATGTGGATTCGGCACCAAGCTTCACAGAAGTTGTGAATCTGTTTTACAAGTGGCTAGGGAAACATAATCTTGGTAAAGGAGGACATAAATTCGCCTTTGTTGTCGATGGGTATACTTTACTTCTTCTTGTTTTACTCAGCTATGATTCTAGATATCACGACTTCTGGAAGTTCTTACAATTTAAGTTCTTTTCGGTATAATGCTTTATTGATTTTCTTTCATATTGGTTTGTTAAGTTAGGAGAGCGAATGCCAACCTTGTTTCGAAGTTACATAAACATGAGGAAGACGTTCGAGCAAAAAGTGGCGATACTGCAAAGAGGACGGGGGGTAAGTAGTATTATGGATAATAGTTGAAAATGACTTCTCAGAAAACTGGCATTGAAAATATGTTAGAGCATTATAAGTTAGATTTTGATGGAAAACTTCATAACGGTCTTGATGATGCGCGGAATATGGCTAGAATATGTATTGAGATGATCAAGAACAAAGTGGAGTTTAGGGTAATTAATGGAATCATACTTCTCTCATAATTTTTCTAACAGATAAACGAACGCTTGATCAACAAGAAGAAAGCTAACCAAGTACAGGTAATGTAGTATTCACATATTATGCTCATGAGAGATTTAGCGTGCAAACCCAGTCGATGATAACAATAGCCAATCTGATTTCCAAGTTTGGAGACAAAGGCTACCTCTGGCTTTTCAAAGGGTATATTAAGGAAAAGTTAGTATGAACTAAAGATCATTTGATAGGTGACCCAACAGGAATTTTCAACAGGAGAATATTTAGATAATGGAAGTTCTGATGAGGAATGAAACAAATGAAAATAAAGACTTAACCCGTATTATGATGATAGTCCAGAATCAAAAGAGACGGCAAGTTTGAGAGCACAATCCTGCTAGTAAAACCCAGACCGGTAGAAATATCAAACCATATGAAGACCGAACTGCCACTTGTCCTTGTTCTAAGTCTCCTTCAATCTTGTAACAAAGTATGAATTCGAAAGCTGCTATTAGAGCCAAGCGCGTGAAATTGAATCCGAATCTAAGGATAATGCTGTGAAATGGTTTGAATATGTATAGTTACCTAAACAAAGGACCTCTGCAATCCTTGTATTCTAACAGAGCTCGTACAAAGACAATGAATAAATAATAGCAATCTGATATACAAGCGATGAACAAAGGATAGAATATATGCCAATAGGTTATCGTTAAGAAATTATACGCTTTCAAAGTCTGAAAAACAATGATTGAGAATGTTTAGTCAGATTAGAACACTCACGAATAAAAGTGTGGTTAAGTAAAAAGCAGTTACATGCAACCATATCTCGAATAATGTGAATCCGGTCCAGGTTATTAACTCGTATAGAGTAATTAGAAGTCTAAAATTAAACATATCAGTTATTCTTTCATATTTCGATTGGTACGGTTTGTCTGTTTTGGCTATCAGTGGAAGATATTCAGCAGTCAGTCCAGTAACGGAGGGTGAATTTGATTCAGAAGAGTCCACGTCGCTCTGTGAATGGTTCGTCATTACCACTTAAAGTGGAAGAAACGACAGAGACTTTACTACGATCAAGCGCAAGTACTAAGAGGTCTCAATAGAGCGCACTTCAGTCCCCCTATATAGCGAATCACAAACTCCATACATACATGGCTTATTGTTATGAAACATGAAATGACCAACGTCAGACTACCATATATTCTTTTGATTTTAAAAGTTTGCATCATTTTTTGATATAAACCTGTCTTCTTTGAAAAATAGATAACGCGTCATCTCTTGTCATCACTTTCGACATTGGTGTCTTAACCACGAGTGTGTTCTGTCTTCTCGCAAACGACTATATACCTTCCTTCAATAGCGATTAGATTGATTTGTATTTTCTTCTCCTTCAATTTCTGGTTCACACTACTTTATTTAGCTAGATTTCGTTTGTTTAGAATCATTGCAAAGCAAACAAACGTGGTCATTGATTTCTCCGTCTTAACCTTCTTGTTTCATTCTCCCCCAAATGCGTATACTTTCATCACACTCGCCATGTTACAACTCTTATTTTGAACCGTATTTCAGTTTTCATTATGTCTCAACTTTTCGCTGGAAAACCTTTGTTGAAGAAAGTAGGTGAGGAAGCTCAAGAAATTGATGGAGGCGATGCATTGAAAGATAAAGTAGGTGTTTCTTTTAAACGTAACCTCATTATGTGACTACAGGTAATAGGATTGTATTTCTCAGCCATGTGGTGTCCATCCTGCAGACAATTTACTCCAAAACTTGCTGTAACATTCATCAACAGCACATGTTCTTATTACCATCTTCCAGAAATTCTATAAGGAGGTTAAAGCCGCCGGCAAAAACCTCGAGATTGTCTTAGTCTCAAGAGATCGCGAAGATGCTGACTTGAAAGAGTATTTCGTAGATCACAATGGAGACTGGCTAGCAATTCCTTTTGGAGACGAGCGTATCCCGTTAGTGCGATTTTGTTCTAACTTCAACAAAATTCTTATGTCAGAGAGTATCTCAAGCAGTTCGAAGTTCCAACAATCCCTGCATTTAAGATCATCAAATCTGATGGTACCATTGCCGTCGATAAAGCTCGTTTCGATGTTCAGGTAAATCTAGATTAGTTTTGGGTTTCTCAATCGTATTTCACACTTCAGGAGAGAGGAAAAGATGAGGCTCTTACTGTTTTTGAAGAGTGGGAGAAAGCTTCTCAATAATATGAGTTTTTACATTCTATATTATATTTATTTAATTTCTTTCCGATCCCCGGATATACTAGATAAAGTGTTTATGTTGAAATTCTGAAAAATGTTGTCTGTGTCTGAGAGACATGCAATGCTTATCTTGAGAACTAGAAGCACAAAACGAGTTGAAAGAAACAAAGCAGATTGTATTTTGTTTGATTGTTGCTCTGGCACTGCTGATAACCATTGTTTTTGAAACTATGACCAGATCAAAGAAGGGATTATTTTGAGAATTATGTACTGCTTTGGAACGTCTTACGTTCCAAAATGGAACATTGTAGCTCGAAAGAAATCTCGAGAAGTGTGTAATTCTGAGCTCTCATGTTCTAAAGGTGATATGAGAGATGTAGTTGGACACACGTCAAGTTGTGCACACCCCCTCCATGAAGTACAAAGTAGAAAGAAAGAACAAAAAACAGATAATATTTAATAACTCGAATGTTTTGATTATTTTACATTCACAATGTAGTTGTAAATATGAACAAATTGAACAAATGACAGGTAAGAAAACAATGTTTAAACAAAACAACCTCTCATCTTCGTTTACTTTGGATGAGACATGTTACCCGTGGTCTTTTCCATATATGAAAGAAGAATTATTATAAATATTAAATAGAATATAAGGCGTTCTTCACACGAGAGAATAAACCGAACAAGTTATAAAATTGAGCAATTTTGTGCTAATCGAAGCATTATGTGAATAGAATGGGAGCGAGAACTTTGATGGTAACAATCATATTTACAAACTCTGATAGTTATCAAGAATTAAGCAGGAACCTCAGTTGTGGGTTGCTTCTCGATAACTTATTCTTTCAGCTAAATCATCAGCCATGTCAGATTTACTGTGAACTCCAGAAGTGGAGTCTGAGGAACCACCACAGAATTTCACCCGGTTCCTCAACAAAACACAATATTCATCATACCGAGCAATCTAGAATGATAGCTTGTTATCAACGATTAGGTTATTCAAATCCTTACTTCTTGCGTGAGATAGCGTTCTTGGAAGAAAAACTCCTCAACTGCTCTACCCTTAGCCTTTAAAGGAGGTGCTCCTTCTTGTACAACAGCGAGTTGTTGCCTCAGCTCTGCAGCAGCAGATTCGTGTGCCTTGAAAAAACACGAGGTTATTTTGTTTATATCTCATATAATCACCTTCAGCTGTTCTGCCAATGGCGCTTGGCTAGAGGCTTTTGGATGTCGGGCTCGAACAAATGTAACTTGCGAACCGGCAGGAGGTGGTAATGTACGGGAAGAAAAAGCAGCGCAAACGAAGTTAATTTGATTAACCCAATCCCTCACATCAGCTGCGCTGCTGGAAACGAGTTAAAAATGTTAAAACTGATTTCTGAACACTTATACCTGGTTTGGAACAAATATTCCCCTAAATTCGCGGTTCTCAGGCGGAAAATGAACTGTCTCTTGGTATAGTCAAATGCAGGTTCAGCAAAAGAATGGTGAAGAAGAATAGCATTGGAGAATATTTCATATCTTGAAAGTAACTTATTGCTTCGCAACAACCTCTCCCCTTACCTGCTCTGCTTTCTCTCTCCTTCATCTCTTTCCAAGTAAAGAACCATTCCACGTAAGCGGGCAAACCAAATCCTCCAACCCCTTCTACCGAAAGGTGCTAGAACATCCGGAATAATAAATTCAATTACAAGGGATAATACTTTTCGCTCCATCACTATCATAAAGTGATTTTCTCATAATCCAACCACTCTTATACTCAACTTGAGATTCCGGATCAACTTCATGAAGCATCTAGAAAGTTATTTGATTGAACCACCAAATGAGAATGGCTTGATACCTGTCCAGAGCTGAATGGTCGTTTGCTCGCTTTACTTAAAGCAGGGGTTTCACTGAAAGAAAATAATTATTTTCTTACTCAGAGCGAATCGCAAACCTTTGGCTGGCTATGGCCTTCTCTTTGATACTATTATACAATGTTTTGAGCAAATCTCTTTTGATATCGACACCAGTGTTGCTTATATTATTGATAAAATCTCTAACAATCATTTTTTTGCCCAAGTTTGGACCGTGTAAATCAGAATTGAGCAGTAACAACGCACATGTCAAAGTGTGCACCTCGTCTAAACACGAAAGTTTGGAGTGAAGATAGAACGAAAATTACCTAAGTTGTTGAAAATACTAGGATTAGCTTGATAGTATCTTTCCGAAAAAAACCTAAGCATTCGCTCTCTCTGAGATGTTTCCCCTTTGAGCTCAACTCTGAAAAAGAGAACAATAAATTATATGCATCATCAGTAGTAATGAAAGCGTTTTTTTCGCGTGTGTCGTACTAGACCAACTGCTCTTCATAAACTTTTCAGAAGCACTCACCTCGCGAGAAAATCACGTAGAGCAGCATCTATTCTCAAGCCAGAAAAGGAGAACAACTCCAAGTACTTAGAAGATATGAGAGTTGATGTTTCTGATCTGTAAGACATGAGGAGTGATATTAGTCGTAACTGCTTGCCAAGGAATAGGCAGGAAATACAAATGTAAAGTAGAAGCTTACGAGTCGTTAAGACGAGCAGATACATCTGCTTTAGTGAATCCGTCTAGGCGGAATAATCGAGATGCTATTTGAGCTGCTTCTTTTTCTTCCCGAATTGAAGAAACATCACCAGTCATATCAGATCTGAAGGATCCAAAATGATCGATACTGTTTTCTAGAAAGAAAATAGGTAATTAGAACAATTCTATTGAAAATACCGTCATGTTTACGAGTTCCCAAAATTCGCCGAAGACTTGGACTATTTGCAGTGGAAACAGATGGAGCACATGTGGTAGCGTGAACCGTAACAGTGGAATATTTAGTTGGAGAATCCGCCGCTGACTGAAACAGGAGCATTTCTACCGCACTGTTGGAGATTATGAAAGGCTCGGTAGTACTTGAGATTGTAGATTGTTTTAGAGTAAATGAGGAAGCTGATGGAAGAGATTCAAACAACTTCAATCTCTGAGAGGGGAGATAGATTTTAGCTACCATGACTTCGAATACTCGAAATTATAGCAGTTCTAGAGAAATACTTCTAGCTCACATTATCAAGCCACCAACTGCTCAGGAGAGGAAAATAAAAACGACAGAGAAAAACTCACGATGATGAATGTCTCAGAGCTAGCAGTTCGTTGATTGCTGGATAGCTGAGGATTCGAAAAAGCAGATTTGTAGTATGAGGAGTGCATCGAAGATTCCATTTCGGGTAATACGCTGGGCACAACATGTATATCAGTTTCTTTTGAAGGAGTTGCTTCGTCAGTGCTTGGAACAGCCCCCAACAAAGTGCTCTGTGGTTTATCTTGTTCTTCTATGTTCTCTGTATTCTCAGTGACAATGTCACAATCTGCGGTCGTCTGAGGACAAGACACCTAAACAAATTTAATAAAGTGAAAGAAGTATAAGGAACAAATAACCTGTCGCCTTGTTTGTATTACTTCCGATTGACTTACTGATACAGGAAGTTTACTACGCATTGAGCGCCGAACTGATGGGAACTCGGAAGCTGATAAAGGTGTGCGTGGCATAACTTCTTTGATTTGAGTGCCAGGAGGAAGCTGATCACGAACAGCCTAAAAATATGAGAAGCTGATCAAATAAGCAGACACAGCACTTTTGTTTTCGAATAATATGTAGGGAATGACTTAAAGGAAATGCTGCAAGTCTTGAATATGATTGTTTCACAAAGACTTAGTCAGTATAGAAGACCGGTTATAAGTGAGCGTCGAAATAATTCGATTAAGCTTGATAGACTGAAAGAGTGACAAGAATTCTATAATCGGTGAGTAAAAAGTGTCAAGCGCATATGGTGGAAATGTTTTGCAAAACACTATTTTCAATACAAAACTACGATTATGTAACAGTCACTGAATGAAGACAGCGAAAAGCTGTTACTGACATATGAGAAGTGTGAGAATGGAGCAAAAAGCAATGAGTTCGGTAGCAAATGAAAAGAAAAAAGGTGAAGATCGAGACTAGTCAAGTATAACAATGGTTCGTCGAAATGAGGAAAAGAAGTGAGAGAAAGGTAGTAACAGCCGATTCGTACGCATACATAATTCAAATGAAGTACACATCTCACGTAGAACTGGCGTGAAGATTAAAACGAGAATACATGATTTGCATGTTGTGAGCTCATGTTATCAAAAAGTCTAAAAAGCAAGCTCCAGATTATCTGAGTTTAAGAAGCTCGGATGGAATCAATGACATGACAAGCGTTTTCTCTAGAGATGCAACAAACTAATGATTTCAAGTTAACTTGCTTATATAGACTGGATCGGAAAAAAAAACACAAGAAAAAAAAAACATTTTAGATGTGAAAGCAAAAAGCTACTGACCTTGGCATAGCTTGGAGAAACATGATGATCTAAGCTCAATATCTTATCTCCCGTCATCACAAACGCTTCACATCGGGGACTTCGGCCTGTCGAGCTTCCTGAAGGCGAAGTCGATTTTTTCCTTGGAGGAGGGTTTTCACAAAGGGGAGAGTCAGGATAGCTCAAAGCTTCTCGAGCCCCTGACGCAGCTACCGCTGCCATTCCTGAAATGTATTGTTGAAAAAATGAGTTAGAAAAGCTAACAAAGAGCACAAACAAAGAAAAACATGAGACAAAGAGATAGAACCGTTCGCATAGATATACAAGAATACCGGTAAGCGATCAATGACAAAGAGTAGAATCACATCACTTGAAAAACGGAAAATGGGATGGACTTCTAATTGGAAAGAAGAAACAAGAAGAAAACGTGAAAAAGCAATTAATAACGCAAACGAAAAGTCGTAAATAAGAATTAATGAAATGGTCAATGGAGAATTTGGCAAAAAATAGAATTAGAACCAGTAAATAGAGAATCGAGAGCTTTAGACAGGAATGAATTAAAAAAAAAGAACAAAGATGAGACTTCAAATTTTTCAGTCTATCGTTGGCATGTAAATGAAACAAGAAGGACAAAGAGGTCAAGGACGGTCTCTATCAGAGCAGATAAAAAAAAGCGACAGTTTAAAAGTGACCTGACGGTTAGTAAACAGTCATAATACGTGCGAGGATCATAATGAGTCTGTGTCTGATGATTTTGATATACATGGTAATACATGTTCATAACTCGGGAGTGCTTTCCTTTTTTGGCACTCACCCACCGTGCTAGCATTGGAGCGCTGTGTAGCCGTGGGTCAAATGTTGTTTGTTCGTATTTGTGATTTCGTAGAAGATGAAGAAATGAGAAGAGGAAATGTTGTATGAAGTGACAAATAACTTGTTGAGAGCAGAACATCCACAAATGGAAATAAATTCAAATAGAAAATAGCAGGAGAGATCGATAGAAAGGCAGCTAGGGCCGAGAATTGCTAGTTGGATGTCAGAGCAGAGAGACTACAGAGTAAAAAAGAACATTGGAGAAGAAGACGCAACAATAGTTATGAGACGAGTGTGATTAAGATGGAATAGTATGAGGATTAATAGGCTAGTACAAAGAAAAATATTTGGTTTGATTACAAAATGGCAAACAGATGAGTATGTTGGGGATGTGTTTTAGGCAAATAAGGTAATGCAATTGTTTCTTTTGAACTATGAAAAGAGACTGAGAGACTGATGAGAATATCCGGAATGACGAAGAATATGGAACGATCAACGGAGATTAAGATAAAATACAAATAATTAGAGGAACCAGCTTCGGAAAAGTGAATGACAGCCTATAGGTGTAAATTGTGCTCGGGACGCTTCCAAATAGTAGTGATTGGTGACGAAATGTGATCGTTTTGTTTAAAGCAGAGGAAGAAGAGAGAAGAGAGATCACCTTTTCCGAAGTACCAAACATCTCGAAATGGACTATATTTCTCAGAGTTGGCATGAAAAACAAAGCATATTTTCGAGACGTTCACTGTGAAATCATTAAAGACAGCCATTCATATCAAATTTTCCAACTTAACTAACGAGGGAAAACTACGAGAAGCATCGATGAAGGGGGGAGAGACTGAGCTATTCAACCAAAATAAATGAATTAAGCAAACAATGTTTTTCAATAAAGCTAAGAAAATTAAAAAAATTTCGTGGTATGAAAAAGGCTGTCATCATCGTCTTTTCTTCTAGCAGTTTTGACAAGCTAACGATACGATCAAATATGTTTTCATCATTTTTCGTTGTTCTTCTGAAGTTTGGAGGAAACCTGATCATTTACAACGAAAAAAAAGAGTAGAAAAGAAAGATAAAGACTAGTATCCTGAAGCATGAAGAATTTGGTTTTCTTTCCGTAAGGTTTAAAGTTACAAATAGTTTTCATAATTCTAGTCCAGGGTTCACAATGAACTAAGAAAAGACGATGAACAGAGAAAATAATTATGGCGAAGAGCTGTAAATGCTCCAAAATCAATAGGCAGCTACAAGCTTTTTAAGAGAACCAATGAAACTCTAATTCATTGGATATGTTTGACGGTTCATCGGCTTAGATGTGGGATATGAATGTAGTCAGAATACGGGAACTATAAAAACAGATGAAACTCTGGCTTTATTGATGAAAAACTAAATCTTTCTCTGACTAACTAGTTTGCGATTGATTATATTGAGAAAAGGAAGAACAGATTGGAGTAATGGGTGGAAGGATGAAAAAATGAGGTGAGATCTCGCGAATCTACCACAGGGATATTTAAGAGGAAAGAACAGAAGTGGTGAATTGAGGAAGACAGCTGCATATGACATCCAACTGGATAAAACATACAGATGACGGAAAAAGACTCACACGCGATTAGTAGAAAATATTTTATTTGATAATTGAGTAAGGAAAAAGTAATTCTTTCAGTTGTTTCGAATGGTACTTGGAGAGCGAAGCTGTATCCAAATATACTAGAATGTGATCTGAGCTGTCAGAAGAGTGGACATAGGAACAAACACAGAAGAATACACGGGCGCACACAAAGCAAGATAGGAAACTAGAAGCTGATTGACGGCCCGGAAACGAAGGTGATTTTGCTATTGAAATAAGCACTAGACAGACAGATATGAATAGATCTAAGCAATCCAAACAGTACTGAAGAAAAGAGTGGATGACAAAAGCCCTAACACGTGAAACATTTTGTGGAAAATAGATTTTATCATACATCACAAAAAAAGAGCTTTGAAATCGGACACCACAAAGATACAAGACAAGAAGAATGTAAGTATGTTGTGTAGAAATCGCGGCTTCAACTAAAGTAATGTGATTAACTACAATCGTTCTCTCTCACTCTTTATACTCCTACTTATACTTCTCCTCTCGCGCATTATAATGTTCGATGCCAAGAACTAACAACCAGCAAACGATACAGCTGTTGCCAATACATTAATCGAACGTCAAAGACGGATTGCCGTAAACAGATGATGCTTTGACATATGAACAGCTACTGCTTAAAATTCTTTGTAAGCGCATTCGTTAATAAGTAGTCTAGAGCAATACATCTATACTTCAGAGGAGAGAGGTGATAAAACCAAGACTATCCTAAGCAAACGACTTAACTGACCAATCGTCTATAATCAAACGACTTACTGTGATTATCGACACGACCAACTACGCAAATGTTTCCGAACAATACAATGAAAGAAGAAAGTTGAACCTAGCATAAAAAATTGTTTGAAGAGCACATTAGAAAGCAACACGTTCAGTGCAACTGAAGAATCTGAACCGTTCTTGGAATCACGACCGTCTTCAGCTGAACAACAAATTGATATGATAGCGAGAAGAACGCCACGTTCACGTAGGCTAATCTGCATACGCGTAATATTCTACGCTATAAAATACAGAATGAGGGAGTTCAATCATTCTAGACAAATGTGTGGCCTCCACGTTCATCTGAGATGCATTCGTGAGATAACCATGTGGGTGAGGCATCATAAGATTCTTAACAATTAATACAATACGCGTTCAGCTTGTGTAAACCTAGTCATGTGCAATAAAATAAAATATTTTATTTAAATATCTGAACCGGTATCAACACTGTAACCGCAAAACTTTTCGATAAAAAACTTGTTCCTAATCTAAGATGTAAGTGATATTTCCTTATGGAGGCATACGGATTGCTCCATCGAGACGAATAACTTCACCGTTCAAGTAACGATTCTCGATGATATGCTTGGCCAGGGCCCCGTACTCAAGTGGGTTTCCAAGACGAGATGGGTTAGGCACAAGTTGAGCCAAGAACTTTGTTACCTGGAAAACTTAATTTTTCAGAGAAAATTATGTGGGAAAACCTTTTCTGGCAAAGCAGATAGGAGGGGTGTGTTGAAGAGTCCAGGGGCGATAGCCATTACTCTGATTCCGTCATCGGCGAAATCTCTGGCTAAAGGCAAGGTCATTCCGACTATGGCTCCCTTAGAAGCAGAGTAGGCTGACTAAAAAGGTACAACAATGTTGTCAATCAAAACACCCTGAGAACCTGTCCAGTTTGTCCATCATAAGCGGCAACAGAAGCAGTGCTGATGATGACTCCTCGTTGTCCCATATCATCCTTCTCATTATCTGCCATTAATGCGACACCATGACGAATTACATTGAAACTACCGATCACATTAACCTATAGGCAGAGCTTCGATTAAATAAATGAGACAGATCATACATTAATGGTTTTCTTGATCATTTCGAAATCGGACATCTTCTTCTTATTCACATTGTAAAGCTTGAAAGCCATAGCGACTCCAGCACAGTTGACAACAGCATCACATCTTCCGAATTTCGATTTGACATCCGCAAATGCCTTAGCGACGTCTTCTTCAGATGTGACCTAAGAAAAACTGTTTCAGTTGACAGAATCTTCATGTCTCACATCAGCAGGGGTGAAGATGACATTTTTTCCGAATTCCTTAGCAATAGCACTGCCTTCAGAAGACTTAAGGTCGAGAATAGCTACTTTAGCGCCAGATTCAACAAGAGTTTGCACGGTTCCACGTCCCAAACCAGACGCTCCTCCAGTAACCAAAGCAACGAGATTCTATAAACTGTTCAAATAGAACGGAGATAACAAACAAGGACCACCCACTTTTGTTGAACGCAAAGCAGACGACATTCTAAAATTAAAAGAAGGAAATTTGGCGGGAAACTAGAGTGGAAAAATGAATGGTGAAATAACCAAGGAGTGCACTGAAGAATCGGTAGTACCAAAGTTTATCGACATAAAAATCAAAACATAAATTATACACATACAACGGATGAAGATCATTGGATGTATAGTTCCGCATTAGGCGCGAATGAGATAATTGGGCTAATATTATTCACAGAATAGCATATTTAAGCACGTCAGTTTGGACAAAAATATGAACATATGAATAAAACAACTCGTTATAATCACTAACATGCAGGATTAATTAAGACTGACGTTATTAAAGAATACTTAACTTTGTACATGATGGTCAATCAAGTAACTAGCCCCGTCACTACTTTTCGACTTTCTCTTCTTTCACTTCTGTTTTCATAGGCGGGGAAGGAGCAGAAACTGGCGAGTTGACATCTTCCGGCATTCCCGTCAACCTTCTCCAAGTTATTTCGAAAAGAAGTGAGTGGTTATATATTTCACTTCCGTCAACGTTATAAATCTAAACGAAAGATTTTTTACCCTGTTTCGAATAGTCAGCACTTACCCTGGCATTCTGGCACATCAGAACAACGTCACCACTCATCTCAACAATGGAGTTGTATTTTCCTTTGTCCAATTTCTTCTTGATTCTGTTGAGATCCATGGGCTTCGAAATGACCTCATAGTAATCCGGTAGTTCTCTTTTAGATGGTAACTCGAAGAAAGGCTCAGCCACTAGAGTTCCATCAGATGTACGGAATTCAGTTGCTTTTTTGTAGACTTTGCGCATGACTTCAAGGATTTCAGGAGCAGCCGTATCCTTATCCTTATTTTCCTCCTCCTCCTCGCGTCTCTTTTTCTTCTTCAGCGGTTTTTCCTCTTCCTCGCCATCCTCCAATAAGTTTCAATAAAACAAATAACTAGAAAAAGTTCAAACCTCATCCTCTAATTGTTTCAAGAACTGTTCATCAGTCATCAAGTCAGCAGAATAGTCAACTTCCTTACGCTTTCTTCGACCAGGAGTTTCATCCTTCATGGGTAATGTTCCTTCTTCCTGTTGTTTCTCAAGCAATTCGAACTCATCAGACTTTTGAATGATATCGGGAGGAATCTCGTTATCTTCCATCAATCTTGGTTTTCTGGAACCATAGTATGAGTATCGTAGAACGCGCAGTTTCGATACCTGTGAAGATGAGTTGATTCTTCTCGACGACGATCGATATCCATAGATTGGAACAAAGCGAGTTCATCGTCAGAGCGAGCGATCATCTGATTGACGGTTTCATCATCCGGAACTTCTTCTTCCTCGTCATCCTCAGATTCAGCTCTGTAAAGAATGTCAATGGAAAAGAAAGCGCTTGTTCATAAATACCTGATAATTTGCTCGAGCATTTGTCTTCGCTCAGCACCGGTAGATCGCTGATCGAACTTTCCGGCTTGGATGACTTTCTCGTCGACATTCAACTTATAACGAGCGGCAGCCAAAATCTTCTCTTCTACAGAGTTGGCGGTGATAAGACGAAGAACTCGAACTTCTCTCTTTTGACCGATTCTGTGGGCACGATCTTGGGCTTGCATGTCCTTAAAAACAAAATGATTGAGCGTTCTATGAGTGATTAAAACCAACCTGATGGGGGTTCCAATCAGAATCGAAGATGATAACAGTGTCAGCAGTTTGAAGATTGAGACCCAAACCTCCGGCGCGAGTTGAGAGCATGAAGAGGAAATATTCCGAGTTTGGAGCGTTGTAAAGTTCCAAAAGTTGTCCTCTTTCGTCAGGTTTGGTACTACCATCCAAACGAAGATATTTCCAACCTAGAAACCATGATGAGTTTACAGAACATGAATGATCCAACCTCTATAGTTGAAGAAGTCTTCAATAATCGTCATCATGGAAGTCATTTGACAGAACATCAAAACTCTGTGATTAGTAGCCTTCAACTTTGGTAGGATTCTATCCAATAGCTCCAACTTTCCTGCTACACGATACAAATCTTGTCTGAAATCAGAGAAATAGCTAGCGACACTTTCGTTGATCATACCCTGTAGCTTCATGTCCCCAAAGAGCAATGCAAGAATCTTCAATGGTATTGAAAAGGAATGGGTGATTACAGAGCTTTCTAAGGTGCACAACGGTGTTCATCAAGGCTCTGCCACCAGTAGACTAGAAGTTCAATCAATCAAGAAAAGTAAGTGAAAAAAAGCTTACCTGCTTACTGTCAATAAGTAAACCATTTCTCATATGCTTGTAAAGAATCTTTTGAAGGGCAGACATGTCACACTTGATGACATATTCGGTCTTATCCGGCAATTGCGATTCGACTTCCTTCTTCAAACGACGTAAGAGGAAAGGTCTTAAAACCTTGTGGAGACGTCTGATAATAAGCATAGTTTCTTCTTGGTTTAATTCAACCTAAAATTGAAAACGTGCTCCCAAGTTCGATTTTATATTCCATACCTTCTCTCCGGTGGTGGCGAATGGGGCATTGAACCATTGTTCGAATGTACCGCACGAACTGAAGATAGAGGGCAACAAGAAATTCAAAAGAGCCCAGAGCTCAGGAAGCTAAATTAATTGAACTGAAAAGATAAAAAAAAAGAATCGCTAACCTTGTTCTGAAGAGGGGTTCCTGTGAGTAGTAATCTATGCTGAGCATGGAAATATCCATTCAACATAAGAGTGAGTTTACAGTTATGATTTTTCAAACGATGACCTTCGTCAATTATCATATACTTCCAACGAATCTGATATCAAGAACTGAATAGAGGAAAAGATACTGTCTGACAAACCTTTCCAAGTAACGTTTTCTCCTTTATAACATATTCGTAAGTGGTTAGTAAAACATTGAATGAACCTCGACGAATTTGACTTTCGACTCTACGGCGAGCGTCTTTGTTTCCTTTGTAAACAATCTTAAAAATTATTATAAAAACTAGAAAATAAAGTAAAGATATCAACCTTGACAACTGAAGGACCCCATTTATCAAACTCCATCTGCCAATTGGAAATGGTAGATAAGGGTACAATAACTAAATATGGACCATTGTTCTGCTTAACTTCCATGAGGTATGTAACTAAGGATATAGTCTGGAAAGAACTAGTAACACAACCATTCAATCTCGTCAAACCTGAATAGTTTTTCCGAGACCCATTTCATCAGCAAGAATTCCGTTCAAATTGTTATTGTAGAGCGAAACCATCCATTCCAAACCTTTCAACTATAATATATGGAGTCTTAACCGGGAAGTACATTGAATAACAGACCTGATAAGGTTTTAATTGAAGACTAGGATTTCCACCACCCATTGTTGAGTGTTGCTGTACAATCTTTTCTTTGATTCTGTGAGCTGTGGCATAATAATCTGCCATCATCTTCTTATTCTTCAGATCATATTCATCTTCTTCGTTTCTAGCCTTCTCAATAATCAGTTTCGCCTTGGTTTCTTCGTCTAATCCCGCATATTTATCCTCCTCCTTTTCTTCTTCAGGTGGAGGAGCTTCATCTTCAATTTCCGAGTCATCAGACATATCGTCTCGTGGAACAATCTCGTAGCCATCATGAGTCTCAAGCCAAGCTTCGACTTCATCAGCTTTTGGAGTCTCGTCTTCCGATAGAATACGTCCAGTTGCCATTTCTCTTAGATGAATTCTTGATTCACCAGTTGCTGGAGGAGAAAATTAATATCGATAACCGACAACGAACTCACTCTCTCGGTTGTCCATTCTGCGCTCATCTCTCTTTCGTTTCTTCTCAGTATTTTGATGCTGACGGACCAAACTGCACAAACTTTCAATATACTCATCGGTTTGCTGAAGAAGGTACACAAGACGTTGATCCTAAATGAGAGAGAAGTTATTTAGTAGTGTGTTAACAATTAACCTTCTTCTCATCAAGCAAAGCACGATAACCTTCTTCGTCTTCTTGCATGAGTTTTTGCATACGAAGCTTTTCGTTTTTGATTTCATCTTTCTTTCTTTCTCTCTCGCTGTTCTGATGATATGTAACAACGGCTTTTTTAACCTTCTGCATTTTGATGTAGTTGTTTCTATAAATAAGCGATTGGAAAAAGCAAAAACATTGGAATCACCTATGGTATTCTTTGAATTCTCGTCCATGAGAAATAATGGCTTGCATGAGATCAGTGTGTTTCTGACGACGTTTTCTCTCTTGATCAACCTTCTGTTGCTTTTCAAGCTTCTCGGTAATTCGAGCTTCGCGTAAAGTTTGTCGTTTTACACGACGATATGCATATGGATTCAAGGCTGTTTCGAGGGTAGTATCCCTTTTTAAGGCAGATAATATTTCTCCTCGTACCTAAAGATAACAGTGAACGCGTTTCTCCTACTTGTCACTACCTGTGTTTGCAAATTAGCAAGTCTTAAAGCACGGAATTCTATCTCAGCTTTCATCCGGAGGTTGATGGGCATATCGGCAGGTAAGTTAGTTAATTCTTGAATTCGAGAGCCGATTCTGTTTTGAATCCTGAAATCCACCTTGAGAATCTCATTGCATTGCAAAAAGTTACCTGTGCTCTCGTTCTTTTAGTACTGAAATAGGATCAATTCCACCAGGGACGGGAAGAGTAGTGGCTCTAGTACAACGTTTTTGATGAATGGATAAAATCTGAAAACGCTTAGAAACGTTGAGAGCAAGCTTCAATTACCTGCATGAGATCATAAGGAAGCTTTTCACCGTTTTCTCCTTCAGCAGGATATTCGTAAGCATCAGGTAAGAGTGTGGTAGGTTTAGGTTTGACTACAACTGCTTCTGATACCATGCTTGATGGTACAGGCTTGCTCCTGGCAAGCAATTTATAAACATTGACTTGAGCTCTCAATTGATTTAGTTGTGATGGTGTCATTTGCGGTGGTTGCCCTGGAGCAGGGACAGGTGATGCTTGTGGTGGAACTTCAGGATTTGTGCCTAATAGATAATATTAACAAGCAGTTAAATCTGAATAATACCAATTAGTCGAGCTTTGAGTTGTTGCATTTTAGCATATCGAGGGTCGTAAGTAAGATTTTGCTCTTCCATTGTCGCTAAGGAGTTTTCCAACCTTGCAATTGTGAGCTCCTGGCCCTAATTATTACAGTAAACACATGCAAAAGCATTCAAATCGAAACCTGAGTAGGTATTGGCTCTCCATTTGGACCGATTTGTGGAGCACCTGCAAAATCACCCGCAGGTTGTGGAGGTTGAGCAGTAAACTGCTCGTACGCTGGACGACTCATCAATATCCGTTCAAAGCTATATTATTAATAATTACTACCTGAAATACAGAAATTTCAGACTTCTTAACACTCTAATATATACAAATGATTGAAAGAAATTGTTTCGTTGATAAAAATACAAAACAAAACATATTTTATCAAACCGTTGTTCAAAAACAAGCCATTAATAGACAAGCGCTTGCATACGCGGGTGTTCCGCGAACCGGCAGAATGCCAAAATCAGGGTACTGTAGTTCGCGGCGGGAGTCTTCCTCCCATAGCACTGCCCAATATGCGTCCAAAACGGTTGCCAAGACGAAATTTTTATAATTTCAAGAATTGGCGGGATAAGGATTTCTTCTCCTCCATTCGGGCCCTGATAATGACGTTTGAAGAAAAATCTGAATTTTCGTTTTTTTTTTGATTTTTCATGATAGTTTATTTAATTGAAAATTATTTTTTTAGGTGGAAGGCTTCAGTATGAAGATGACTGTTGTTGGTGAACTTATTAATGGGGGAACATCTGAGAGAGACGTCGATCCTTCTCCAAGTGGTACTACTGTAGATTCGAATTGTACGAACATTAAAATTATATTTAAGCTATTGGAACTGAATTCGCACGTCAGTACTATACTCTGCTTGCTGCATCTCCGAGCAGTGTTCACAGATTTTATAGTCATGAAAGCTCTCTCATCTTGAATGATAGAACCATCGTGGGACAACAGGTAGATCTATTGTTTTATGATTATTTTTTTTTATCACTTGCTATGTTTTAGAACATAGGCAGATCCATCGAAGAACTTGTTGGTGAAGCATGCCGCATTAAAATCACTTCCATTAAGGTTAGTCTACTTTCGTTCACATGTTCATGAGTTTTTACTGTGTTAAGGGGCTTGCCACTTTCAATGGTGGTATTGTTCTTCAAATTTTTGGAGAAATGAGTGGCAAGCGATTTGTACAAACTTTCATCCTTGGGCAACAAGGTGCGAAGAAGTATTATGTCCAAAATGATCTTTTCCACTTTGTTGACCAAGTCTACGCTTGTGCTATAAGTGATACTGGCAACAGTACACCCGTTGAGCCTGAGAAACCAAAGGTAGATTAGTTTTTTAATTTCTTCGTATAGTAGTATTTATATAGCCTATCGTCAACGGATCTGTAAGAAAGGTTCCCGAAGAGAAAGTTGTTCCACCTCAAGTTGAGAAAGTTTCATCCACCAATGACCGTTCTCTAAACACCAGCATTGAGGGTAACTTATTTCAAAGTGTAAACCTCGAAGAGTTTTTTTTTACAGAGAAGGTGCACAAGCACAAGCATTCTAAGAAGGATGAAACACCAAGAAAGAAGGAAGAAACACCTAAGAAGAAAGAGGAAACACCTAAAAAAGAGGAAGAGCGCGCACCTGTCGATGACAGCCCAAAAACTTGGGCTAAATTGGTCGGTCAGTCTAAAACCACTGTTCAACCTTCATCAGTCCCTGCACCTGTTATAAAAGCTCAACCAAAGCCTTCTCCATTAAAGGCTCAAGTAAATGGTATTACTTTGCATAATTTATAAGTAGAGTACAATGGGCTATTTCCAGCCGGTAATACTACTATTAATACCCGTCCTCAGCAACCAAGCGTAACTACTCATCAAATCTACGTAGGTGGAATCATTCGTAACATTGTTCCAGCAACTACTGGTGCTGCTGAACAGGAAATTCGTGCTGCTTTCTCTAGTTAGTTCGGTTTATATCCAAATATTATCATCGTTTCTTTTCAGAGTATGGAACTGTTGAAAACGTTGCCGTTCCCAGAAAAGTTCTTGATAACCCAAGTGACATGAGTAAGCATGGCTTCGCTTTCGTCACCATGAAGACACAAGAGGATATTCAAAACGCTATCCAAGCAGCAAGAAAAGATGTAAAATTTCTCATTTTTGTATAGATGAACTAAAACTGTTTTTTACAGGAACGTGGACATCATTTCCAGATTAAGCTTGATTCTTTCGGCTTTGATGGTGAGGTCCTTATATCAGAACAGAAGGGAGATAGAGAACGTACGGGTTTCCGTAGCCGTGGAGGATTCTCTGGGCGTGGAAATAACTTCAACGCTCGTGGAGGAAGAGGAGGCAGAGGAGGTTTTAGAGGTGGCCACAGTAATAATAGTGGAACTCAACACTAATGATTGTAACTATGAGTCAGAGCCCTTCCCGATCCCACTTCAATCTTGTAAATTTAAACTGGTTCATATTAGCACGTTCTTGTTCTAAATTCAAATGTTTAATATTTTATTGTTTTGTTTCTTCTTTCAGTTTTTCAGCTATTGAAGAAACACAGCCTCTTTCAAACCTGCCGGTTATGAACGAGGGATTTATACAGTATACGTTGTTTTGTAATAGATCTCTTGACGTCGTTTACCGATGTTAGCTCAATATCCGTTTTTTTATTCATTGTGGGCTCACTACTGTTGGTTTCTGATAATCTATTTATTGTACCATGCTGTGGTTCGCCAAAGCATTGATGTGAGAATTTTACGGAGTTAACTGTCTTTTTGACATGTGGTGGACTTTCGGTGCTTTGCCTTATGTTCATCCGTTGTTTTTTAAAACTGTTTCAACGTCGAAGATTTATGTTGAATTGTAATAAAATGCGAATTAAATTTTTAATTTATCATGCACGAGCTCGTTTGTATACCTACAGTAGAATTCATGGACATTAACAAGCTTTTCATAGGATGGATGATGATTTTAATGTAATTGGAGGAGATGATGCATTAGTTTACCCGTAAGTTTGTTTGTATCTTTCGATCTTACCTGTTTCCCCTAAGAGATGATGAAACGTACCCGAATCGGTCTATGGTTAATGAAGAACCAACAGTCCTTACAGAGCTCAATGGAATTGGAAGAAAGTCTGTGAAGAGACGTTTCAGGGATTCCGATGAGATTATTCATCCTATAGGTGACTAAGAGGAGAAGCAACTTCTTAATTTTTCATATTCCTCAAGATTGGCACATGAACTCCGCCTTGCACGCTGATGAGAGAGAAGCGAAACGACAGAAGCAGCTTATAGAAAATGAGTTGATTGATAGGATGACTTCTAAAATCATTGAACAACGAAATCGGCGGCACTCTCAGATTAATCAGTTTAGTGAAATTGTTGAAGATTTTGTGCCTGAAGAGGATAGAGTAAGTGAAAATCTGTAGCTTTTTCAAAAACTGGTCATAGGTCTTGTGCATGCCTCCAACAGACGGCTCGAAATGGATAGGAATTAGTTCGGCTGATAATTCATCAAGGTTTCTTCAGTTAAAAATCGGGCAGCATTCAGTTTTCATAGATATTACATACGTTATGTGAAACCACAAAAAAGTAATAGAAACTTTGCTAACCAACACGCAGGGCTTAGATCAGCTTCCGCTTTATTAGACCTACTGGAAGAGGAGCGTCATTTAAGGTATCAGAAAATCATATATAGAAAAGAGTAACTTTTGACATCCAGGGAAGAGAAGGCTCGGAAGCTAGAAAGAGAACAGGAGAGACTAGCTGAGGAAGGTTCTGTTGTTCCTACAACTTCGGAGTTATGGAATACTAAATACGTTCCTAAAAATTATTTCGAACTCCTTGGAGACGATGTAATGTAGCATCTGTTATATAGTTTCATAGAATTGTTGCAGACGATTAACCGTGATGTTCTCATATGGCTTAAGCTTTGGGACGAGTGTGTTTTCAAGAAAAAATCTACGGAGTTCGACAATATTACTAATGATAAGAATCGTGATGCCTATTCTTTGGATAATGGAAAGCCTCGTCGACCGAATCACAAAGTATGGAAAGACAGTTGGCTCTATTTTAACTCTCTATTTTTGGGTTCTTCTCCTGTCTGGACCTGCGGGTCTAGGAAAGACAACCTTAGCAGGAATTATTGCCAGACACTGTGGCTATGCGACAGTTGAAGTTAACGCTAGTGACAATCGAAACATTGCGGATTTCGATCGTGTCATAGAAGGTGCACTGAGGAGTTCGAAAAACATCGATGCTGTGAGACATGTTAGACGTAGACATTGAATAATTGAAGTTTGTAGAAAACTGGCGGAAAACCTAACTGTTTGATCATGGATGAAATAGATGGGGCTCCAGCAGATGCTATTCGTTTCCTGGTGAAAACTATCCAAATGACAGGGAAGAAGAGCATACGTCGACCAATCATTTGTATATGCAACAATCTGTATGTATTCAATTCACGTTCTCAAGTACTTCGGCGTTATAGGTATGCTCCAGCATTACGTGAACTTCGACCAATAGCATTGAACGTAATTGTTCTGCCGACAAGGAAAGAGCGATTGGTTGAAAGATTGGCGCAGGTATTTCCTGTAACTATTCCTGCATAATCTTCGTGGTTAAGATTGCTTCAAATGAAGACGTTCGAGTCGACCATGCTGCTCTTGGCCATTTAGTTCAGTTATGTCACTGCGATGTCCGTCTTTCTCTCAATTTACTACAGTATGTGTCATCTGCTGCGAAGGCAGAACAAAAAGTTATAACAATGAGTGAAGTGGAGAAAGTCAGTTTTTGTGACCTTTTGTCTGCTCTCTAAAAATGAGTTTTTAGACAGCTGAGAGACAAAATATTGGGTACGATTCGATTTTTGAGTCTTGGGCTACCATTCTTGACTACAGTAGACATCTGGACAGGTTGAAATGATTTTCAGCCTCGTTGACACCTTTCTTTTCAGCAAAGGTGTTCTTCAAACTATTCAGAAAAGACTAAAAACAATTGAAAAGGTCATTGCAACGTTTGGCGATGAACGTTTCGTCACAGGGCTCCATGCGAACTTTATCAGACTGCCTTTACCGATAGGAATTTTGAAAAACGCAGCCAAGGAGTTTCTACTTTACGATAGGATAAATAATACAGTTGGTTTTGAATCAGAAAAGCTTTATTACCTTGGACCATAGATTGCTCAAACTCAAAACTATGGATTGATGAAGTATTTATTTGCGTTCTACTGCTCTCTCCATCTGACAGTAGCCACACATCACAAGTATTATTTTAGACATCACACATTCTTTAACTCATTTCGTTCAGAGCTAATTTGAAGTATCCTCAGTTGGAGCAAACCGTAGCCTTAAGAACTCGCGAATCGATTGAAACAGTCAACTCTATAAGATCTTCGCTGATTATTGCAAATAACCCTTCAAGCTTGGTGACGGATATCCTTCCTCTTCTTGTAACAATTGTCCAGCCAGCTATAAAACCCGTAAGTTCACGGATCTGTTCAGTGGCTATTTTTGATTTTCAGATGAATGAACAGCTATATGGTTCGAAAGATCTGCTGTTGATCAGCAAAGTCGTGGAAATCATGTCTTTCTTTAATTTAACCTATTCACCTTCTACTATCAATGGCCAACTACAATACACATTCCAACCGTGAGTTATACCATTATTCTAATTTTTCTTGTCATTCTTGGCGCTCGTATCTCTTCTTTGAATTTTCATTATTCGGGTTCTTGGCTGTAAACTCGAGTGAATGTTTCCTTTGCAGACCCGTTGACGTGTTAACTCTGTACAACTTGAGCGATGTGAATCATCGTGTTTCCCTATCAAATTCCATGAGACAATTAATAACGAAAAGAGTAGGCTCATATATTCATGTTTCTCTCAAGTTGTGATTCTTTTCCAGATTGATCAGTTCAAAACTAAAGCTCTGATTGAAGAGACGATGAAGAATATATCAAACCAAGGAACTGAGGTTCCGAAAAACCTAGCTATGGAGCGTATCATGCCGAAGAAAATTAATCCGAACAAAGTGCCACTTCATTACAAGTATAACCAAGGGTTCAGCAATGCTGTTAAGAAAAGCATTCGCATGTCTTATTTCATTCAGTAAACATGTACATATAGCAGTCATTCCTTTTTGACATATCACCTTGTTTTACAAATCATATCGTTACGATCTCTTGTGAATTGATCAGTTTGAATAAATCTGTGAACCTTTGAAATTCTTTGAACCACGAATAGTTAGAACTGATACTGGCAATAACATTACTCCTTATATATTCTCTTATAGGCATCCATGTCTTTCTACGACACAAAGCAATCTGACCCAGGACTTGTACTGAAACGCATTGAAAATGTAATTATTCATTTCCTCCATAATCTATACTCTAAAAAGAAAAAAAAGATTTGTCTGAAAGTGTAAGAAACGTACTCGTCTTCGATGGATCCATTTCTTTAAAGGTCAAACGATGTTTCGGAAGTGCAATTGGACTTCACAACTCGAAAATATAGCAAATTAGCATTTAATTTATGCACACTAGCACAAGTTTATAAACTATTGAGCTTCAATTCCGAGAGCACAAAACGGTGTTCTAATTCATTTTCTATTAGTTTCATTCTTCTCGTTGTAGGGATTTGTATTATGACCAAAAGCTACTATATGGCACTCAAACACTACTGGATCGTTCTTTGACATCGATATGTGAGCTGTTAGCTGTAACTAGAAATCAATTGAATGTTGTAAGCTTAAGAAAAGTGGAATTCCAAGTGAGATTTCTTTTCAGATATCGAGCAGCAAAGGGTTAGTGGCTGGTCCCATCGCTTTCATGGACTTAAATGGAAGGCTGATAGATTGCAGAGCTAACGCAACTTTAATATCAGGTTAGCAGAATGCCAGATTTTGAAACCTCATGAATCATCCCAGAAAGTCTCATTGGTTTACGAATATTATCAACAGCTCGTTTCATTGTTGTTGTAGAAAAAGATGCTACTTTCCAAAAACTAATAGATGAAAAGTTTTTTGAAGTTTTGCCCGATGCATTGCTTGTAACGGTTGGTACAGAAGAACACCATAACTATTGCAACTGTTTAGGGTAAAGGATACCCTGATATATGCACGAGAAACTTCCTCAAATGGGTGGTTGCCACGTGTAACCTCGATATATTTGGTTTATTCGATGCTGATCCTCATGGTCTGTTCACTATGTCTTGTCCCTTAATTACATTTCTCCAGGAATAGAAATAATGCTGACTTACAAATATGGCTCTATTAGTGACAAAATGGAAGGAAAAGGAGCTTTCATTCCCACTATCAAATGGATCGGGTTTTCGTTCGCTTCATGAATCAGAATTTCTTATTCATAAGTTTTAAGGATGAAACCAACAGATTGTTTGCGTTTTCAAATAGCCGAGAACCAATATCTGCCCTTGTCTCATAGGGATTATAAGAAACTAGTCCGATTACGTAGAAGATCCGTTATTCTCAAAGAATATGATCTCGTACAAGAGGTTTGGCAGTTCTATATATTCTAGCTCTCACCACACTGTTCCAGGTTGATTTCCTGCGTGAGATCAAGAAGAAGCTAGAAATAGAAGCTGTGTCTTCTATGGGACCCCGATTCTTGGTGAAGAAACTCATTGAGACTAGAGTCATATTAGATGAGAGAAAAAGGTCGTGGCCACACTGAATCTTGTTTATAATGTTGAAATCGACTTGATTAAAACCTTTTTTTTTCGGGAAATCTCAAGTTCAAATAAATTCGAAAAGAAAACCGAACCGACGTTTACAAAAATTCTTTTCTTTAGAACATTCGACTTTTTTTCGCATCTAAATTCCCGCACACGCCATATCCCCTTGCACCGCTCAGAGCTTGGATTCAGCACTAAAAATGGGTTTAAAGTTTGGTTCCCTATGTGGGGGTAGCTCTTGCATACTCTAGAAGTTCTTTCGATTGCGGCGGGTAAATTCAAACTGAAGAGTGGGGAAAAAAACTTTCATTATTATTAGGAAAGTAGTGTTTATTTTAGTCTTTCTCTCTTAGTCGGCTCTATACAAAACTACAAACTAGTAGAAATGTAACCTGGCGCGCTTTCATTCCAGATGGTCTGTGATCTTCAGCAGGAGTTACTCATTGCATCTCAAGCGAGCAATACAACCGCACCTCAGCTATAGAATGCATAAAATGAAACTCAAAAAGTTTTATTTCGTTATAGCTCCCTCACATCTTCTCCATAGTCTGCTTTGCACATTACTGAAGCAATACTGAGGGAGAGTCTCAAGCTCGAATTCATTCTGTGCTTTCACTTCGTATTTGGCGGTTGTGTGCAAATGAACAACCGCAAATCATGATGTGTGACCCAAAAATGACAGTTGTTCATTCTGCTTTTAAGTATCTTAGTTAGCGGCTGATATTTAGCTCATAGCCGAAAGGGTATGAAGCATTATCTTGATATATGATGTATAATCCTTCGTCTTTGTTTTCCCTTCAATCTTGAGCGTAGGAACTTTCATGAAGGAAATCTCCTCGATTCTATCATAGGATAACAGGAATAACATTTATAAATTCAGAATTTGTTTGAAAGTTTAATCAGCAAAACGAGAATCTTAAGTCGAACAGTCGGAGAGAAGAAAATGAACATTTTCCTCTCCTTTTCCATCATCTTATTGAAAAGACCCGATAAAGTATTAAAGTTAAATTGACAATAAAATGAATGAATTTAGCACGTTCTGTACAACCGCTATTTATAGAGAACAAGTTGTAAATGAAAATTCACAAGTTCATTTTTCAATTTCTATTGCTGTTAGTAGTCGTCTAATGCATACTTCGGTGAGTGACTTGAAAAGTTTGATGATGGGTTGAGTCATTGTCGTTTCTACTAAAATGAAGGCAAACATGAGTTGGTATAAAAATGTATTTTTCAATAAAAAGTTGGCATAGTTCAAGCAATTTGTGAAGTGCATTTAGAGCTTCTTTTTCAAACATAAAATGAAGAGTATCACTAGAGATAATAGATAAAGACTTTATAACCTGTATATAGAATGTTTGAGAGAGATATTGTAGAGAGAGAGAGAAAGAAAGAGAGGATAAGATAAAGAGAGCGAAGAATGGATGAGGATAATGAGACTAGCAAGAGTTGGATATGTAGAGAGAAAAGTTTTAAAGAGAGTTATATGAGGTGAGATAGGAGTACCACTTAGCGCACCTCTTCAATCTTAGCCTCACCTTAAATGAAACAGATCTACTAATTCAATTTTCTTTCAAATAATTGACCTGAATAGATGGATGGACAGACATTTGTAACGAAAATTTTTATAATTCAAAACATTTGTTTATTTTATGAATGACCTTATATGGACGTTATCTTTTATATTTCAAACAATCATCCGTTTGATAGAAGAAATTATTTTGTATGATTAATAGTTTATCATTCTTTTATTATGAAAACTCTCTTTCCTTCCCCCCTTCCTTTCCTTCTATTCTTCTTGTGTTTAGTGATCGACTACCAATATCGTATGTAGCATGACGACAGCAGACGTTTTCTCCTTTTCCGAAGAAAAAGCCAATTCAGCCAACTACATATATCCGGAGAGAGAAAAGAAAAGGCCTTTTTTGATTTCATTCAAACGATTTCTTAACCTCATTCAAATCCAAGTCTCTCTCTCTCATTCTCTCTTTAATTCTATCCTTCTTTTCCTCCCTTCCTCTTAGATAGCTCTTTAAATAATATTCAAATCATATCGTGATGATCATCCGTTCTGTCATTTTCACATCTCTGTTCAGAAGTTCCCACCATTGTTATGGCTTTACCTTTTCTCAGTTCATCTTTTGTCAAAAACCTCACTGTGTGAATGCTCTAAGCTTCTATCGAATCATCAAATTACTTGAAATCTTTTATTCGTGTTTCTCTCTTCACGACATTGCAATTCTGTTCCGATCAAATGTCACTTCAGCTCATCGAACAGCACCCGAAAGTTTCAGCTTGCGTCTGACGAACTGTCTGTGTATGTGATTTGTGATGATGCTGTCTCAAAGAAATATATTCACAAATCGATTATGCTTACAAAGAGATTAATGAAAATTATTGTTATTCTAACTTCCGTTAATGGGGTTAAAAGAAGGCTAATAAGCCTTGAATAGAAGCTTATAAGAGAGAGAAGTTGACAAATGCAATAATCTGTCATGTTTTTCATTAACAACTGTCATAAGACATCTGCTCTCTCATCACATTTGTTCAAACTCTTCACTTTCCTTCCTTTAAAGGAGTCGAGAATGTATAAAAATTATTGTACAAATTCATTTTTCTGTTACAATCTCTGTTTATCATTGTGGTTTTTGTGACAACAACTTGACACCGTGCGAGCTTTGTAAACTGAAACTGTTTGTTCAGTTAGCTTCGAATCGAATAAGAAAGACTCCGTTGAAACATCGACAGATTGCTGACTCAACCAAAAAATATCGTCGGCTTCTTCTATTTCCCTCTGTCTCTACTTTTTTCTCCTTTTCTAAATCTCTCTCTCTCCCTTTTTCTCTCTCTAACTGTCTTACTCTCTCTCTTTGTCTATTTCGTTTGAGAAAAGAACTGACCTCAGGCTGTCAACTATTAAATCCTTTTTTCACATAAATAATTTCTTCTTTTTTACCAAATTAGATTCGCCAATTGACTGAATTTTCAGTTGATTAGCATAACTTGTTGGTGACCTTCATCTTACACATTTTTCCTTTCTTACTCGTACTCTCTCTCTATCTTCCTCCCTCGATCTCTCTATGTTTCTCTTGGTGAGATGATTGTCGTAGACTCTCCCCTCTCCTTCTCCTATCTATCATCACACTCAATTACGAACATATCTCATCTGCTTTCCATCATTCATGTCATTCAACTAGTGCTCATCCTGTCAAGCTCCAATTATGATTATTATAAGACAGTAGATAAGACCATTTTTGAAACAATTCCATCGTTTCTCATCGATGAGGATACAAATTATTTTATTGAATAAACAGCCTGTATATGGTATATTTACATGTACGACGACGTCTCTTTTCAATTCATAAATAAATATTTCTTTTATACAGCTTTTCTTCGTTTTCATATTTCTCTCTCTCTCATTTGCCT